CAACTCCAGGCAGCGGAAAACAATGCGAAAAAAATAACTGGAATTCCGTTACTAAGTTTCTTGACATCAATGAGAGGGAAAATGAAGGAAAAGAGTAAACTGCGATCGCTATTCTAATTAAAGTATATGACGTACATTCTCTTGCTTTTGTCACTCTAGTAATGAGAACAGAGACTAAATTAAGTCAGTTATTAACTTTTCGAAAGCACAAGCTGTTTCAGGTGTTTAGGTATTTCCATATCTAATTTTCTTCCTTTCAGAAACCTTCAATAAATAATCTTTTAAACAAAAGTTTTTTTTTTTTTTTTAGTAGGTACCATGTACCAAATTTTACATATACCAGAGGCTGTTCGCACGTTTTTTAGACGATTTTGGTAAGCGGTAATAAAAGTTCGTTTGCTGCAAAAGAAGTAATTGCAATTGTACTATGTTTTTAAAAGTCAAAATTATCGTCTGTGGCTTGAAAATTTGTTTTTATTCAAAATGGAGAATTTAACAAAGCAGTGGTTCGAAGACTACATTTACGCTCTTTCCGAAGAGAAATATGCATACTCCGTTATCCAAAAACGATGTGAGAGTCATGGTTTTGTGATATCAAAAGCGTCGATAGGTAATATCATCAACAAGAAAGGAAACAAACGTCAAATTGGAGCCTCAAGGCGGACAAAAATTCCAACAAGTATCCAAATGGATATCTTCGACTTCGAAAAAACAGATATCTTCGACTATTGCTAAGATACGTTGTTTAATGCAAAAAGAAAATCCCCCTAGTCAAAGGACAGTTGCAAAATCATTAAAATGCTCGGTGTCCACTGTAAACAAAATGATAAACGTTGATTTAAATCTTAAGAAAGCGAAAAAACGCAATGTGCATCGTCTTCTTCCAAAGCATATCGCTCAAGCAAGACACGCTGCAGAATTCTATTGATATAGAATTAGAATTCATTAGAACCACTTATCCAAAGAAAAATGGAAAACGATTGTCACAATAGAAGAAGCATGGGTGTATTTAAGTGATTGTAAAAAAAAGAGCCATTTATTATCATAAAAGGGGAAAAATTTAAGTACATGGTTCAAAGAATAGAAAGAAAGTTTTCCTAAGGGATTGATGATTGTTGCTGGTTTTTCTTATAATGGCAAATTAAAAATAAGGAGAGTGCAAAAAATTTCAACTCCAAATACAATCAGGAACGTATTTTATCGCCAATTTTTCTGAATGAAATACCATCGCTTTACCCACAGTGTCATCTATCTGTGAGACTCCATCAGGACAAAGCTAGCAGTCACACATCAAAATCCACTGTAAATTTCCTAAAAGAAATGGAACAAAAAACTGGTATCAAGGCCATACCCTTCACTGATATCCCTACTTAATCTCCCGATGTGTCATCTGTGGATTTTTGTGCTTTCGGACTTTTAAAAACTGCATTATCCAAACGTCCCTAAACCCTAATAGGACTCTGGAAAGCTCTACGGGAGGAATGGGATAGAATACCTCTTCTGCCACTTCAAAAGGCATTATTATCCTGGAAATTGCTGTGTCGAAAGATAGTTCAGAATAAGGGATGTCAAATAGAACATTTAAAACACAAGAATTTTATGTAATTTAGTTTTGTGAATACAATATACATCGTCTAAAAAATGTGTGAACAACCTCTGTACCAAATGTAGCACTGCTAGGATAATTAGGATAATCATACATGTTCGCAGAAGGTATTTAAATTGTAAACATTAAAAACAATTTGTAATGAGCATCTTTTGCTCTATAAGGTTCCAGAAGTGGGCGCAGCCGACCCACCTAACCAAATGAGGTGGCATTTTTCTTCCTCCTTCTAGCATGCCTTTGTGGTATTAACGGTAGCCCACTCGATGCGTATTCGAGAGGTCCAGGTTTGAGTCCCGGCGGGGACATTGCTCATTTTTCAAGTCTCTTGCTTCAAAAAACCTAATGATTCTACAGTGACACCGAAACTAAAAAGGTGGTGGACAGTAATTCGTCACCACCAAGATTTCGCGATTGGGTCCCCTAGAAACCCCAGTCGCCCTTTAAAAGTGGAAGTATATAAGTTATTTTCTCCCTCTTTCCAGCTTTTTTTCGTGGTAGCACACTCGACTGCAGGCGAGGGCATTACTCATTTTTTCTCCTTCTAGCATGCCTTTGTGTCATGCTAGAAGGCATATACCACAAAGGCATACTAGAAGGAGGAATTTTTCATGTCTCTTGCTTTAAAAAAACCTGACGACTCTACAGTATACCAGACGTCATTTTACATCGGGAGCTGCTAAATAATCCTAAATCACCTTTCTCATCCTTGCTTAAAGCTTTAAGTCTTTTAACGGATTGAATCTCGTTAATAAATTTCTATGAAGTAAAGACTTAAAATGTTTTTTGAAAATATTTTTTAGATTTAACTTCCCTATATAATTTAGAAAGGAAAAAAGAAATTCTTACCCAATAGTTATTATATTGAGAAGGCTGTACTAAATTCCATTAGTTTGAGTTCATCCATTATCTTCAACTTAAGCCATAATTGTTGGTTTCTGCAAGTACGTGTTGGTGCCGTCTGTTAAACTCTATTTCAGTTAAGTAAAGGGGCCTTTACACACTTTCCCTGTCTCTGTGATGATACTTACAAGACACAACAAAAACTCACCAATTGGCTTTTAGTATTCTGGTCTAAATTTATGCTAGCCAAGAAGGTAAGACTCTATAAATTAATGAGCTTTTCATCCACACTATAAAGGCTGTGAGGCTGCAAATTTTTTAGAAGTACTTAGTTACCAAATAATTCCAGAAGATAATTTAGTAAGGCTGTTTGCTACCCACGTGCTTACAGGCAACAATTTCTTAACCTAGCTTTGGTTACTGACTTTTACTGTATTTAGTATTTTCCTGTATATAGTTCATATAATTTATTTTTGCATTTCCGAATTCATGAATTGCATAGCTTCCTATGAACTGTATAGTGAGCTATGAGCTATTACTTCATGAATTGTATAGCTTACTATGAGCTGTTACTTCATGAACCGTATAGCATACCATGAGCTGTTACTTCATGAACCGTATAGCTTACTATGAGCTGTTACTTCATGAACTGTATAGCTTACTATGAGCTGTTACTTCATGAACCGTATAGCTTACTATGAGCTGTTACTTCATGAACTGTATAGCTTACTGTGAGCTGTTACTTCATGAACTGTATAGCTTACTGTGAGCTGTTACTTCATGAACTGTATAGCTTACTATGAGCTGTTACTTCATGAACCGTATAGCTTACTATGAGCTGTTATTTCATGAACCGTACAGCTTACTATGAGCTGTTACTTCATTAACTGTATAGCTTACTATGAGCTGTTACGTCATGAATTGTATAGCTTACTATGAGCTGTTATTTCATGAACCGTACAGCTTACTATGAGCTGTTACTTCATTAACTGTATAGCTTACTATGAGCTGTTACTTCATTAACGGTATAGCTTACTATGAGCTCTTACGTCATGAATTGTATAGCTTACTATGAGCTGTTACTTCATGAACCGTATAGCTTACTATGAGCTGTTACTTCATGAACCGTATAGCTTACTATGAGCTGTTACTTCATGAACTGTATAGCTTACTATGAGCTGTTACTTCATGAACTTATAGTATGCATGCTTACTATGAGCTGTTACTTCATGAACTGTATAGCTTACTATGAGCTGTTACTTCATGAACCGTATAGCTTACTATGAGCTGTTACTTCATGAACTGTATAGCGTACTATGAGCTGTTACTTCATGAACTGTATAGCTTACTATGAGCTGTTACTTCATGAACCGTATAGCTTACTATGAGCTGTTACTTCATGAACTGTATAGCGTACTATGAGCTGTTACTTCATGAACCGTTTAGCTTTCTATGAGCTGTTACTTCATGAACCGTTTAGCTTTCTATGAGCTGTTACTTCATGAACTGTACAGCTTACTATGAGCTATTACTTCATGAACTGCCTATCTTACTATAAGCTGTTACTTCATGAACTTCATATAGCTTACTATGAGCTGTTACTTCATGAACCGTATAGCTTACTATGAGCTGTTACTTCATGAACTGCATAGCTTATTTACTTTGCTTGCATTACTTTATGGTAGAGTTCCTCACTCTTTTTGCACTAAAGCGAACCTTGAGGAACCAAGTGAACTTGTTAATCACTTATCGCTGAATTCTGACAACTAAGACGTAGATTTGAGATGAGTTAACTACCCTTCCTTTCACTCAAAATAAGATGAACACTCGGCTCCTTTCTTGGGCTTACAGCAAAACCTGTACTTAGGCTTAAAAATAAGAAACAAGAGCTAACTGAGAACTAACTAAAAGAGACTTAGCCGAAGCTATCACAGATCTAACGCAGTTGGCCGTTAATTTAAACTAGCCGGCGAATATCAAAAGGCACTTAGCCCGAAGTGCGCTACTTAAGATTCCTAGCTCGCTCTCCCTCGGAGTAAGTTGAAGCTTCCTTTAATATTACTTCCAACTCATTTGCTTTCAAAGTGATTCTAAAAACTCATTCTGGTAGGGATTTGTAAGTTGAAACAAGGCTAAATAGGAAAGCATATTGAAATAAAAATGACTGTTACAAACTTAAAATATTCCTTGCAGATGTTTGCAATACAAGAGACAATGTTATCTCTCCTTTACCTCCCTTCTACTACCGTTCTCGGAGATTTCACCTGCTAACTCGACAAACTCATGTGCTCTCATATGCAAACTCATGAGCTGTGACGTTTAATTTTCTTATCTAGCTTATCATTCCTAATCCGTATCATAGCAATTTCATAATCCATATCTGTATTCGCAAGCTGAAAGAAAGAAATAGCTAGTTTAATAAAGGTGAAAGAAAGAAACAGCTAGTAGTTAATCCAAGCTGAGCATATACAATTTGAATTGACTACTGTGCTTAGCAAAATAGTTTTTTAACTTTAATATTTATTAAAATTTATCTTTTTTTATTTCTTAATAGATGGTCCTCCAATGTCACACAGAAATTTTCCTCCATCATTTTGGAACAGCAACTACCAACCAATGCCAAATTCTAACATCAGTAGCATGGGTCCAGGCGGCCTTGGAGCACTGCCACCCGATCTGACTTACGGAGGTGATCCCTACCATCACCATCCTGGAACGCTCCATGCCACATTACATCACCAGAATGACCCGTGGCACTACACATTGACTGGACAACCAGGACATTTCGGACACCACAGGTCACACGAGTTGACATCATACCACCCTGGGATGTCCACGGTGACCGGGGCATCAAGGTTTACTCCACAGTATGGATCCCTGTTGCTGCAACCGACGGTCCGGTCGGCGGCGCGCCTGGGGTCTGCGGCAGCGGCTTGTGCTAGTCTCGAAAAATCTGCTGCGGAAGGTTGGGGATCGACGAGGTACGACCCCATTGGACACATGGATTCCAATTACGGCGCCGCTTATGGCACCATGACTCCAATGCCAGGTAAACACAGTTGATAGTTTAGTTTCCATGGTTTTCACAAATTCGTTAGTTTGAAAATAGTGAAATTATAATACTTATTCTCTTTTTTATATCAGATAATATTGTTACGTTTTTTTTGGCACCAGTTGTTACGTTATTTTCTTCCTTCCCGTTCGTACGGGGTTCATGTGGGTTTGGGGTGATTAAGGACGAGAGCACTTGATGGAATATCGAAACACACTTTATTTAACAATATTAATCATGACAGCTCCAAAGCACTTTTACAGTCGTCGAAGATCTACTTTAAACATGCTGGAACAATCAGCGACACAGCCTTCTTACTGTCAGACAATAACGGTGGAGACAGCTTCAATGAAAAGCACCAGAGTACAGCTCCCGACTCTGCACGGTCGTTCTTGGAACTCTACGTACTCCATTTAGAAAGTAGCTGTAACTCTCCACGCTACAACTCGCGATGCACTCGACGACATACAGAGCACAGCTCCCGACTCTTCGGTTCAGTCGTTCCCGGAGCTTAACACACCCTTTCGACGATGCACTAACCTCGATACGCTAAAAGACTCTTTCGATGCGCTCGATGACACACTCGGCACTCGCTGCCCGGCTGTCAACTCGATCGACTCCGCACGGACTAACTCGAGACTAACTACTATCTCGCCCTCTATGACTCACTATCAGCTCGCTAGACGAGGCACACTAACTGACTCCGGACCAGCAGGGTTTATATAGCTTTCGGCTATATTGTGTTCGAGAACATTCTGGGCTAAATCGGTAAGAATTCGTTCCAGAAGGTTCTCCATCCGTCCATGGCATATCGCTAATTTTGTCGCCAAATGTGCGATTTCTCGCCAAATGTGTCAATTCTGCCTTTCCTTGCCATATTATAGCAACCCTAACAACTAACTGCTTTGCGGGGAAGCTATCTCACCGCGCCTGTACATTTCGTAACAATATGAAATTGAGTAAATTAAGACTTTGAAAAGTAAATTCATACCAAGAATGAAAAAGACACTAATCTAAATTAAATTGTGGGATTTAACACTTAGTTTTTATCTAATACTTAGATGTTAGATAAAAGGTTAACAGTTAAGTGTGTAGGAACCTCGTTGAACAGGTAAACGCATATTCGCTTTAGTGTAGAAACATATACGCACAACTTAAGACGGGTTAAATAATCTTTGTTTCACAAAATAAGAATTTTACAGACAGTCCTTTTCTCAGGACGTGCAGCAAAGCCTCCACTTGGGCTTGAACTCAAAGCAATAAGAACTAAAACTTAACTAAAAAGATATAGCCGAAGCTATCAAAATTTCTAAGTAGTTGGCCCCTACTAAATATCAATTAAGCTAGCAAAGCTATCAAGGGCCTGATACACGGCCGAGCGTTGTAATAGCTTAGACAGAGTGTAGTCATAAGGAAAACGCGTGCTAGTCAGAATCTCGTGCTCTAACGAAGTCAGTGGAACTTTGACTTAAATACCGCTCTTATTCATTTGCATTAACCGCAATTCTAAAAACACATTCTGGTACGAAATTGTAAGCTGAAATTAGGAGGGATAGGAAAGTAGCTTTAACTAAAGATAACTGTAAAAACTCAGGATAGTCTTTAGTAAGTTTACAGATGTACTGGAATAAAAGAACTAATGCATAAAACATCAAGGATGATGTTTCGGAAATATTACTTAAAAAATTCTTTAGATTTGCTTTAAAACCCGGTTAAATTTAGGAAAACTGAATTAACATTTCAGCACTTTAGAAAGGAATTTTTCATGTCATATATTTTGCTTTAAAATTTCATACTGTTCTCCGGATATATGTGAAAAGCATAACAGTATCTTAAGAAAAAAAAAATTGAGAACATTTTTAAGTGAATTTAATTATTCTTTAAAAAGATTCCATATACATCAATGAAAAGAATGAATGAATTGATTAGCAATATTGTTTTAAAATATTTAAATCGTCCAAATGTTTATTAAGTGTTTAAATATATTTTGTTATTACGTGTTAATAAAATGTTAGATGTAAATATATGTAAGTTTCATATACATTATAGATGACGAACTTATTAATGTGATAACAAATTAAAAATGATTTTTTTCTCAGTCCCAGCAGAATCCGGGAGCTCCACATACTCAAGCATGTATGAATTATACAAATTACAAACAATACAAAGGCCTTACCGGTGACATTGGTTTTATGTCTGTAAGTGTTGCTATATATTTGGGATCATGGTAATGGTCTATATCTTAAGATCTGTGGTGGTGGTGGTTTTGAATGCATGAGGAGTTATATCGATGAAATTTTAACTGGGGCGTTTCCTTCATTGCACTGCATCTATATAGTGTTTGCTTTGATATTGCCTATACATTTATTGATTTTTCTAAGATTAACCTTTTATTTCAGAGTTTTTGTGATATACCCTTAGGTACAAAGTAAATGAATTTTATTAACCTTTTGAAGACGGGATGGCCATTATAGTGGCCATAGAATCCGCTCTTTGAAAAGACGGGGTTGTCCACTTTAGTGGCCATGTCTTTTTCCCCCATTTTCCAGGCTGAAAAGTGGGGTGAAATGTCAAACTTGACGTCCCTAGGGTTTTAACCACTTATCTCTTTCAAAGGTCTTCCTTTTGCGACATAGATGCACCCCTCTGAGAATCCATTAAACTACACACAAGAATCTTTGTTGCAAATAGGAGGTGATTTCTTAAAGGGGGGAAAGCATTCGGTTCAAGATTCTCCGTCCTTTGGTAGCTTCTACTGCTACCAAAGCCCCGGCCTCAAAAGGTTAATATGTTATGTATATTATTACATCAAATTACATTATTAACCATAGCATTCGCATAAAGTACGAGGACTCGTACTTTGAATGTTGTTATGCAGGGTTAGCTTAAATGCTTCATTTGTTTTTAAAAGTCTATATTTTCAAAAGTATTTTACAAACACACATGAAAGATATATGAAAAGAACCATCAATTCATTAAGTTTATATACCCTCTACAAATGTTCAGTATGTGCCTCTTTGGTGACACGGCACACGTCTAGACGATAATCGAGCTCATTCCAGACATTTTGTAACACTGTTGTCCAGAATTGACCAGATGTTCGGAATACCATAAAAAACTGTGGAAGATTTTGCGTCAACGGTTGCATTTCAAACGCTCCATGTGTAGCTCCTGCAGCAATTAAACCCAGAGGATTAGGGCGTTGACTAGATTTTCACGTCAACATGCAGAAGCATTGCAGGATGAAAATTTCGCCACCAACAATGATATTCAGCCATGAAGCAGCGTTCCACTTATCCGGGAAATGATCGTGAAATAGTGAAAAAAACTTGGTGAGTTTGTAGTACCTTCAATACTTTTGAAAATATTGCCTTTTCAAAATGAATGAATCATTTATGCTAACCCTGTATTATGACCATTTAATAAATTTTACTTAATTGGTGTTAACATTTTAAAAATTACTAATATGTATTTAACAATTTTCCATTTCATTTTTCTGAAACGTAAAAATTCATGGATAGAAAGAAATTCTCAAAGAAATATTGGTTGCTAGTCTACTTTTCAGAGGCCCTGTGGCGCAGTGACTAGCGCATCGCGCAGCAGAACCACAAGTCCGGAGTTCGAACCCCGGGCTGGTCAAGGTCCACTCAGCCTTTCATCCCCTGATTTCCATCCCTTGGGTCGATAAGATTAGTACCAAGTTCGCTTGGGGACTAAACACTGGGGGTCCTGCGACAAGCTGACCACTTGTCCAGACCATATGCTTACGCACCCCGGGGCCCACGGTGAAGAAAGCAGATTTCAGTCCTTGGCCCATTAGGGGTGTTTGCTCCCTTGTTATACTCAGCATCAGAATGATGGTAAATATTTTGTTCAACTTAGACACTGAATTTACTTAATCATTTCACAGCGAAGTCGCCCGCACCGTCCCTGCATTCATACACCTGTAGATCGTTCGAACGCGTGTGCCTACTTTCTACCTGGTGCTTTGCCCCATCACGTTAGTATATGACTCAATGGTTTCGGGAGTTTATAAATGGCATTCCTGACATTCTTTTAAAGCGATTATAAAGTAGCTGTCGTATTTGAATGCGCCTTCCCTCTCCTTTGTATAGCGTCAACGTTCAGCTTTTGAAGCTCGCAGTTGCAATCCTATTCCAATGGTAAACTTCAAGCTGTGGGTGAAGTCGCACAAAGATCTCCAAAAGAGAAGTAATCACTTCACTTAAGTAGGTTATTGTTAACGCTTTAGTATTTTACATGGCAGGAGAAAGGGGATTAATTCCGACAAACATTTGTATACACGGGCGTTTCAGATGTTTGAGGGGAATAGATTTTGAGTTCTATCGCTGCGAAAGAATTAACAGACAGTATTGCTACCGAAAGTTAGGCTTATGCCTAGATAACTCAGTGCAAAATAACTGTTTTATCTCTGAGTAATCCAATTAAATTGCTATCCAGATTTGTAAAATACTTCTTATAACGGAAATTACTAACCAGTAATTTCCGTTATAAGAAGCGAAATAGAGTTAGAAATCACTGCACAATATCCCAAAGTATTACTTTTGATTCATTTCGTTAAATGCTAGTTCATCTTTGTAGGTTTTGTTTTCTTGTTTCCTCTGTAAGAAATCAATAAAAAATATCTTTTCTGTAAAACTGGGATTGGTAAGCACTATTGTTGCACTGACTGTCATTTATTTTCAGCTTAACTTTGAGACCTTAATAAAACTTTCCTTTGGTAGACATACTGGTCCCATAATAAATGCACAAATGTTTACTTAACTGCCAAACTAGCATCTTTTAGGTATATGCGGTCACGCAACAATTTTTTTTTTTTTTTTTTTATTTCGTCTAAAGAGTCATTTTTTTCAATAATTATAGCTGGAACCAAATGTCCTGTTTAAACTTCTAGTCGCTTTTTAAAACTCTGGTTTACGGACTCATTGGTGAGGTATGTCTATTTTAAACCCTTTGTAATTGGTGTGACTTCTCTC